TGACTGGGAAGTGCTGATTGGATCAGAGTAAATAGGGTGGGATGGGTCAAGAAAAATTGCATTGGTTGAATAAATTGTGTTAATAAATTATAACTATTTTAATAGATTTTAATAATTTGAACAGCATATCAATATCTGAGAGGGAAAAATTAATCCTTATTCAAAGAAGCTGGTTTTCTGGTGTGTGGGGTCATTATGTCCTACATTGCATTTGGGACCATTATGTCCGGGGCCGTTTTGTCCGGGGACATTATGTCCGGGGCCATTTCGTCCGGGGCCGTTTCGTCCGGGGTCATTTTGTTCGGTTCCCCATGTATGCAACATGCAGCTGTGCTGCTGAGGAATTAAAACGTAATAGGCAGCTACACTTCATTCCTCACTTCCTTCGTCGTCAATCGCCACAAGCCTGGCCATTTCGGCAATAATTCCAAAAAGCCTCCCCAGTAGCACACAACATTGAATCAACATTGATTGAATGTTGACTTAACGTCAGTGTGTTGATTCAAAGTTATGTGCTACTGGGGCTATATCGATTAGGACGTGGAAGAACTGGCACGATTTTGCAACTCGGTCGGCAATGCACGCTTGTGAGCACCAAATTTTTCTTTTCATTCTTTTAAATGGTTCATTCCAGAACGTGCAGTAGGCTCCAGGCTCACACTTCTGCTGACTAAAATTCCATGCTATGCATTTTTCTGCGGTAATTCACTTTGAGGAGGCGACTTGGGTTGATTTGAACCAGATTATAGGAATATGAGCCCATTCGAAAAGTCGGCACTTGCGCATTGAAGGTCAATGCCCCCAAGATCAATGCCCCCAACGTAGAAAAGGGGGAAGGGCAGAAAGGAGACGTCAACGACCTGGAAAGGGGAAGGGGAAGGTGACGGGACCTGCGTGAGAAAATTCAATACGAGGCAAGCGCGAAGACAGACGAGAAGCACGTGGTGAAACACGTGGCGCAGTCGCACATCCTATCGCCTGCCATCTGATCCTGATAGAGGACAGCCTCGATGCTACAGTCTCTCTCTATCCTTCTTCAGTCACTCTTTTCCATCCTCTGTCCTTCAGTCGTCATCCTCCTTCCTCTATCCTTCAGTTGCTATCCTCCATCCCTTCAACCCCATACACCTCTTGTCGTACTCGGACAGGTAGTGAAGGATGAGCGACTTGGACAACGTGCTAGAGCCGGGGGAGGTGATCAAACCCCCAGTGGGATGCGAGCTCGCAAGGGACATCCTGGGTCGGTTCTACGGTATCAGCGGGGAGTTGCAGGAGCTGAACAGTTACGACGATCGCAACTTCCACGTCCACATTCCTGGTAGGGAAGAGTACGTGCTCAAGGTCAGTCCTCCGAATTCCCTCACTGGGTAAGAAGCGAGTGGGATCGCGCCTCCGAAGAGTAGAGCCAAGACTCTTTAGATGCTGGAACGGTATTAGGTTGTAACCATTTTTTAAAGCGATTTACGGTTCTTATTTGGAACTCCCTTTATCCTCGTGATGGTGAGGCTCATATTTCCCGTATGAAGTCGAAATAAGTACTTCACATTTGCTTGGGAAACCTCCCAGAGACATTTAACTCATTCTCATTTGAATCAAAGCAAGAGAAATCTGGTATTTGGCAGATTGATTCACCCAGAGGTTTCTCTCCTCTGGATATGGTGTAGTTGGGTTCCATAGCGGATGGAATGCTCAATGGAATGTTCTTCGGGATGCCGGCCTCAAGGTGAAATTCATTCCGAGTGAATGAGATTTTATCTGTCGTGTCATTGAAGTTGAGTCTGACATGGACTGAACACAACTCCGCACAATTCCCGGAAAGTGTCCCGAACCCTAGCCTTCTCAGACAGTACAAACGCATACACGCCTAAAAATGCTAAGTAAAAAATAGTGTGTGGGAGAATGAGGGAGGAGGGAAGCGAAAATGTGGTCCCGCGGGACGTCGGGCAGCAGTTCCTGCAGGACCGGCAACAACGTCGGGATCGTCTTTTGGGAACCGACGGTCGGCGCATACGCTGTCGGGGTGAGGACCGAAACGCCTCGCCCAGGTGCGAGTTTGCTTCTTCCATGAAATTGCTTCTCTGAACGCTCCGATTTTGGATTCCGCGAGGTCCCATTCCGTTAAAGCGTTTCGTAACGCTATGAATCAGTTCCGAAGGGAATTAGCCGGCATAGATATTACTGTGCTACAACAATAGCACTAGGTTAATCGAACAGAATGTCCGATTCCAGAATTTTATGCATGTAGAAACCCTGGACGGACTCCCTCCCCTCCCTTAAAAATAAATTATAATGATATGGAAGAGGAAATAAAAATGAAGGAAATCAATAGAGGAGGGCTCTAACCGGTGCCGGTCTTTACCCTTCAGCCAGACAGGATGTGAAGGAGGGGAGGAAGGATGATACCATCGTGTTTCAGGATGCGTGCAGACAAAGGAGGATGATCCTCTTCAGGCTTGGGAGTGAAAACACGCGTTGCCGGACCGTGACTCATCGCTTCATCGTGCGAAAGAGAGGAGGGGGGGACGTCCACGAAAAAATATCTGAGGGTTGACGTGTTGACTGAGGGGAGGGAAGGCATCGCCTTGGTGACTCAATCGCGGATAAGGGTTGAAAGCCGTTTGTTCAGGCTGCACTTGTTTTCGCTCCCTCCATACGATAGAAAGCATGCATGCCCTTGTGAAAATTAAAATCCTTGGTTTTCCGAGCCGCTTCACGTCCTGATCAGACGAGGACGCTTTTCCATATCAAGTTCCGTCCCGACAGACCCAACGGCATCGATGCACCCCCCGTGCACGAGTCTCGACCACCTTCGCTTCTGCTCAAGGTCGTGTGGGACTGAGCCTCGCCTTCCTCTGCCGAGTTGCAAAACTTGAGGCGTGACCAGGAGTGGGGATGGAATTTCGGATTTTCAGGTTGCGAGGAAAAAAGGTTAAAGGATCTCAACGCGAACGTTCAATCGAGATCAATATTTATTCACTAGTCAAAAACCATCCGACCTTAAATATTATCACAGATATAAAAAAAAAAAATCACGCACTGCATAAGACCAGCAAACGCACGATCACATCGACAGAACACGGGTCGATACTTGAAATAGCACGAATGGTTCTCAAATAGTTTTCTCACGGGAGGATGTCCCTCAGAATGTCTCTCGTCCCGGACGGTAGTCGCTCCGGAAACTGGACGTGAAACTCGACGACCAGGTCTCCCTTCCGTCCCGGCTCCTTCGGCTTCGGTAGGCCCAAGCCCGGGATCCGCCTTTTCGCGCCGGGCCGGATCACCTGGTCCGTCAGGTCCAGGGGGAACTTTCGGCCGTCGAGGGTGGGGATTTCCACCAGCGTTCCGCAGAGGGCCTGCAAATGTCAAAAAATGCATTTTTCAGCATTCACGAAATCAGCATTTCAAATCATCCGAGATTCACATATTGAAAACATTCGCATGTGATACAAAGCCTGAACGTGCATTATCCATCCGCTTTAGCTGTTGGGAGCTTCAGCGGGGACTACTCCGTATTGAAACGTCTGAGTCCTTGGACCGCTATCGTTTGTGAAACCCATTGAATTACTTAGGATGACATTGCATTCACCGACTATTCAGAATTATTCATATTCCATGCGTCATCGGGCGGAATTCACTCTTACGAGCTCAAGGACTCCTCACGATCGAACACAAAGCGAAAATTACTATTAAGTACTGGAATTAGTACCTGTTTGAGCGTGAGGGTGGCCTTGTAGCAGATGTCTGATCCGTCCCGCGTGAAGAGCGGGTGCGGCTTGTCGCGGATGACAAAGACGACGTCGGCCGGGATCCTGCCGGGGATGTCGTCGCCCTCGCGGGGGAAGGTGACGCGGGTGCCTGCTTTCCAGCCGGGCTTCACCTCCACGAGGAGGAGCTTCTCCTCGCGGCGGGGGGAGCCGTCGGTGGCAAGGGCGCGGCGGGAGATCTTCAGCTTCTTGACGCAGCCGGTGAGGATGTCCTCCAGGGAGACGTGGAGGTTGTGCTCCACCGGAGGGTCCTGTTCCGCGCGGTGCTTCGGGGCGCGGCGTCCTCTCGACCCGAAGAGGTTCGAGAGGTCGTCGTCGTCCATGACGACGTCGTCCTGGTATTGGTATTGGCCGCCCAGGCCGGATCCGAAGCCGCGGAAGAAACTCTCGAAGGGGTTGGAAGCGCCGAAGAACTGGGCGAAGGTGGCGCGGGGGTCGCCGTGGAAGGTGTAGGTGAAGCCCTGGCCGTTGTCGCCGGACGTGAAACCCGGTCCGCCGTTTTTCAAGCCTTCTTCGCCTACTTGATCGTAGATATCCCGTTTTTTCTTGTCACTGAGGACTTCGTAGGCCTCGGCGAGTTCCTTGAACTTCTCCTCGGCGCCGGGGGATTTGTTCTTGTCTGGGTGATATTTGAGGGCCAGCTTTCGATAGGCCTTTTTCAAGTCGTCGTCCGTGGCGTCCCGGTTCACGCCCAGGATCTTGTAATAGTCCTTTCCCATCTCGAGTCAAGTCTGCAAGAACAGCAGATTCCATGTCGGTCATGCATCATTCGAGTTATTCGAATTGCGCAAGGGGGACAAGGCATTACTCAATTGAGCTCAGGCAAGGACCAGAGAAACGAGAGACTCACCTTCTCGATGGCACCTTGAATGCGACGAAAGTTGATAGCACCGATGCTCGCGTGGGAATGTAATCGAAACGGGAGGAATGCGTCAAAGCTCTTTCTGCGAGGAAAGACGATTGCGATGTGGCAGAGAGCGCGAGCGCGGCTTTAATGCTGGCTGGCGGAGGAAGGATCTGGAAACACGTGTCTGGAATGTTCTAGAAAGGTCACGTGGCAGGTACTTTCTCTTCGCGTTTGCGCCGCCGCCCGGCTGCTGGGAGGCGAATGGGCTGCAAGGGGGGGGGGGGGGGGCGGTGTCCTTAGGATGCGATTTCCACATTCATCAATTCAATTAATATTGTATCGTTGCGATTAAACGAGGAAGAACGAAGCAGGAAGAGATGGGTGAGGCGCATGCGCGGATGGAAAATTCTAGAAGATTCCGCAGCTGCTCTCGCAATGCCATCGAACTGCGACATAGAGACCTGCGCTGAATACGTATCGGGACCGACCCGATCCGATCCGCGCCTTTCAGGGCCGAAATTTTCGAGATATCTCCTCGGATAGAGTCAAGTAGGGTTGGCATTTTTCGTTTTTTTTCTCTCTCTCTCTTGCCCATAGGCTGAGACTATGGGCCGTCTGCGTCTAGACAGGAATCTCCCTCACGCATGTAATCTATGAAGGGAATGACTTCAGGCAGAAGACGGTAAGCAAATTCTTGTTTATGAGTATAGCCTGATATTATGCGGGTGACGAGTATCAGAAGTATGCGGGTATGGCAGTTTCGCCCCTTCATGCCCATCGTGCCATTCTGAAAAAGGGTGGAAAATATGCGTCGAAGTTTTTCTGCTCGATGATCGAGAAGCGGCCGTGAAACATGTTTGGCAATTTGGTTTTTGGGTAGGGCTGCGGGCCGAAACTCAAATGGGGCATATAGTAGGGGTACTGAAGAATCGAACCCTGCAGGCCTCTACGTGGTCACAAAAGATCCCTCCACCTGCCTGACCGATTCGCGCTCGTTAGTAGTCCATCTTTACAACAGATGTCTCTCGTGGCTTTCAATTGAAAGCGTGGGCAGGGATGGAGCGCATCCATCCTAGGTCATGGGTTCACATAATGCGTTCATTTACACATCTGCTGTGAGTGTCTACTCTTCGTCAATTCCACGTGCGGTGCACTTAAATGACAAGATTGGTGGTGTGGGGATGTTGACTCTCTACGGAGGCCCTGCCTTGCCTTGAGGAGGGAAGGGGGAGGGGGGAGGAGGGGCAAGGTTGCCTCAACCGGAATGCAGACGAAGATCAATATCAGAAGCATTCAAGGGCTGCCACTTTTAGCGATGTGACGTGCGATCCCTCGGTATTTGGCAAATTGTGTGAGCCTATTTTGAGAAATGATAATTCATCTGCGTCGTGCATTTCCCTTTCAGGACTTATGACCTCGGTCGTACACATTTCAGCATCGTCTAAAATCTAACAGTTGACTCAACGCCTGAGACTCCCCTCCCCTCCCCATTTCCAAAAAAGACCTTGGCGACATTGGACCCTACATTTCTCGATTCACAAATACAGTATTGGTGTATCGTGATGGCACACGATCGATCATTTGAGGCTTCTTTAGCGAGCCTACGACGAGAAATACAGGGAGAAACGAGACACACATGAGGCCTTCTGGCACGACTTCCAGGCTCTCCGGCATAACATCCATGCCCCGCCCCCTTCGCATTCCCAAGCTTATCTTTCTCGAGTGGGACGAAAGATAAAAATCGGAACGAGCGAAATAGATATAGGAGAAATAGAGAGTGAGCCCACACCATCGGTGTATAATTATACCTGGACTTTTGTTTTGGAGGAGGAGGGGTGGGGGGGAAGGAGGGGGAGGGGGCTAGAGGGCGATAACGTAGCCAGGATTTCATCACGGGCAAGGAGATTAGTAATGCGTCCATTATCCAAAGTCATTGTCACCCTCCCCTCTCCTCATTGGTCGGGCTACAGGATGAGAGAGAATCCCAAAAAGAAGATTAAATTCCTAGACAAGAAACGTTCTCTCATTTCGTCCATTCTGAGAGGAATGCATCAGGAATGCACATCCGCTTGCATCCTTAGCCAACCCGCCTCGGATGGAAACAGAACGGGATCCGGCAACCCTGTCCTTCCGGATCGGCTACGATGAGTTTGCTACTGTCTCCCGCCCGATTAGGAAATTTGAGTCACCCCTTTCCAAAGCGGATGGAAAGGTGAACGGGCGACGCCATTCACCACGTCACCAGCGGTTTTAAAACGCGCGAAGGCGACTCAGATGCAATCAAAATATCCACCAATCAGGAGCGTTTGACAGTCACGTGACCCTTCGCTATGACCTCGCGTGATTCGTTTCAGCCAGTTCTCAATCGGAGTAGGTAGGCCTACGACAAATGATTTACCGTCCAAGCTGGTGCCAAAACTAATCACACCTTGCGCCTGATCACGCTTCACTAAATATTTCATGGCTTTGATTGCGCCTTTCTATAGCCATCCGAACGATTAATGGTGTTGTTTTTGCGGAAAAGATCACATTCCCCCTGGGGGACCAGATTGTCTCGACGTGATCGATTGCATCCAAGAATTTTCAGAAAAAATTAATGATGAAATTACATACCCTCCCAAAGGCCTCCCTAAAACCAATTATCCATATCTGTGTCGTAGGCCTGGACCTACCTTGCCCCCGATGACGATCTGCCACCAGATTGAATTTTCACTTCCTTCCGTCAAAAATGTCAAAATACGTTCAGAATGAGAATTTTAAAAATGTCGACTGTTCGATTGCATGCAGCAGAGTCAATGGGGAATTGACAGATACTAAATACTTACCTGAACGTCGAACGAGATGGCGAGAGTGTTATTGTTGTGAGACGGGTTTTCACACTCCGAGATTGAAGGATGAGCTTCAAAGAGTTTCAAGTCGATCAACGCTGGCCTGCGACGTTTAGGGCAACTTCGATTTCTTACGAGCGAAATATGGGATGTCTGCCTAGGCTCGACTGAAAAAAGTCCTGAGACTCCTGACGCGTGCCAATTTCGTTGCAGAATTGGTAATTGAAGCGGGTGGAAAATTTAATTTAACTTCAACATGTGAAAAAATATGGTCGACAAAAAATATGGCAAACGAGGGATTTTCGGGTTTACCAGACTGTGCCGTGGCAGCGTATCACTAAGTCGAAGATGTCCTCAGATGGGGCGTCGTTTGTACACAGTCGACTGTGTACAAACGATCGGTTGAAGTCGTTCAAGGTCTATAATGTGGAGTTCAAATGGCTTTCGAAACTTGACAAGTCTAACACCTGGTAATCCGCTCGCCCACCCCCCCCCCCCCCAAAAAAAAAGGGTAACATCTCTAAGTCACTACTTTCTTCGTAAATAGGAATAGGCTACAGCGAGTAGGCTTCAACCAAGTCGGTGTAAATGTTTTTCGGAGTAACTCTATGAAGTAAATAATTAAAAGTTCATCAATCCGTTCTGGAGTAACTGAGCACGCATTCCAGTCTTTTTTTTATTTTTTATTTTTATGTAGGAGTTGTAACACGTTAAAATGAGCTTCCCCGACGTATTGCAGGTGCTGAACAGCCTCCAGAGCCAGTCTTCTCGCTTCGCCTCGGCCCAGAACTCCCTCTATTTCCACCTTCTGGACCGAGGCATCAATACGTCACGGCCGATGCCAGACAAGGACGGCCGATTCCTTTGCCCCATCCGATGCGACGGCACGCAATGGAGCCTCGTGGATGAAAATGAAGACGGTAATGGTCAAAGTGAAGGGAAGCAGTACATGGTCCGCCTGTTCACTTACGTGCCAGGGACGATCTTCTACGACGTCCCAAACACCCCCGCCATGTTTTACGAGGCCGGGGAGTTCCTGGCCAGCCTCCAGATCGCCATGGAGGACTTCAGCAACCCTGTCTTCCAGATCCGGCGGAGTCTCTGGTCTCTGGAGTGCCTGGACGTCATCGAGCGGTATATGTTCGTTCTGAAAGAGGACTGGCAGGTGGAGACCGTCCGGGACGTCTTAAACGCCTTCGAGAAGGGCAAACCGGAGATGATGCAACTTGAGCAAGGTCTGACTCAGCTCGAATGTTCTGCGATGTAGGCGAAACTTGATTTTAGCTGTGAAATATGACCAACATTTCGCGAACATTATGCTTAACGAGGCACAATTTCAAATTAATCTATTTTATCTTGACAAAATTTTCTAGCTCGTTTTCCCGCAGGGAATGGTCGTGGTTCACGCAAGGTCGCAAGATGAAATAAGGGCGCCTGTTACAGCTCTGGTCGTCTCGCTATTCTCTTTCAAAATCAAATGGCATGATTCAGTGTCCGTCATATTCAATCGCAGTCGTTCTGCTTCTGCCCCGCGGTCTTGGGACGCTTGGATTCCACGTTTGCAATTGCGAGGATACAAAAAATCCGAAAATATACGTTGCGTTCATAAAGGCAGTTTGACCGTAGTTTTTTTCTTTAGGAACACCATCGCATACAAAAGAGTAATGAAGCATTTGAATTTCTCTGGTAAAAATCCGCTGTAACGACCTTAATAGAGTGAATATCTGGTTTCCCATCATTTCAAGTCTCATCTGTCAGCAGTGCATTAAGCACCATCACTCTCGAATTGCTTTTGGCAACCTTCCTGTTCTCCCAACCAGGGATGATCCATGGAGACTTCAACGACCAGAACATCCTCCTGAGGAAGGGGGAGGATGGGGAGTACCACGTGGACGCCATCCTGGACTTGGGGGATGCCCAGCACTCCGTCTACCTCTTTGATCTGGCCGTGGCCATCACCTACATTATGATCGAGTGCAAGTGCATGGACCCGCTGGAGACAGGTTGGTGGGGAATCCCTGCAGCGTCATATGTATAATTTTTACATTTATTTCTGAAAAAATGTGTTATTGAACAGGGGGCCATGTTCTGGCGGGTTATGCGAGGAAGAAGATGATGATCCCCCAGGAACAGTGGAGGTTGCTCCGTCTTTGCATTGCAGGTAGGTATCGGATACAGGGTCATTTGAGGTCTGCACTTTATCATAAGTTTAAGTTTAACATTTGACTAAAACCTGTAACTAAGATATTTTCAAGAATATCTAAATTTGTGATTAAGGAAATTAAAATCATGTAAATCGTAAAAGAAACCTAGATGAGTAACATGAATAAACATTCTCACCTGGAAAACATGTTTCATTATACCAATTGATATTTCAAATTCCACAAATTAACCATAAAATGTGGACAATGCTGCTAAGATATGAATCTTCTTTTTCCATGAAAAAAAAAAATCAAGAAAAAAAAAAACACCCATAAATATCTCTATCTTTATTTTGCAAAATGAGCGGCTTTCACTGAAGGCCAAAACCTTGATTGCAGGTCGCTTGTGCCAGAGTCTGGTCCTCGGTTTCTACACACATCACATTGACCCGAGCAATACCTATGTCCTCACCTCAGCTGAACATGGCTGGGAAATCCTCAGGCGGTTTTGGAATGAATCCTCCAGTGATCAACTTGAACAGATCTGGAAAAAGGTCCTCAAATCATATGAGGAACACCAGATTCTCTCTGGTTCCAGTTGATTTCGGTGGCATCCAAATATATAATGAATTGTATGCATTTAAAGAATGACTGGATTCGTCAAGACTAGACTTTCTCAACAAGCAATTGCATTCCACAAACAGAATTGCGAGTATGAAACAAGGTCAGAGGTCACGTGTCGCCCTTTTCTTCATCCTGGAGACCGGCAAAGAAGGCACGGGGATCCTGGATCCGGGAGGATGGCAGATTCTTCTCCATGGCCTTGGGATCGGCCTTCTCCTTCACATTCACCCGCACATGCTCCAGGTATTCAATGTTCCAGAACCGAACGGTCTGATCCGTCCCGGCAGAGGCACACATCTGCCCATCGTGGGACACGGACAAGGCCTCCACGCTGGTGTTCTTGCTGTGCTGCCCCACCACTCCCAGGACACGATCAGGGAACATGTGGACGGCTCTATATGACACAAAATGTATTCGTTCACGAAATGCCTCCTAGCTCTTGATTGGTCAAATATTTTGAATACAAGTCGTTGAGAGACCTTAAAGAATCCCTAATCTTTCTTGTCTCCAATGTGAAAATAGGAGTTACACAGTTGCTTATGAATGCTCTTTTCCTTTCCTGGATGCACTTTACGTGGAAAACACAGTTTATTTTTATGCAATGTATTATAAAGCATGTTTTTAGCTGCTGCATGAAAATATAATGGCTTACACAAAGAGAATCAATCTATTTCAGTTGTAGACAGTATGCTCCAATTCAAAAACAAAGAACTTTAACAATTATGCTAGAAAGAGTTTTGAAACCGTTAGGTAACGGCATCATTTAAATACCCCCATGACAAGCATGAAACCTACTGCAGGAGTCTCCTGATCTTCCTTCATGTGTAGCAAGCCCCTGACCATAATATCAGGGTCAAACACATAGGTAATGGTTGAAATGAAAATATTTTCCCCATTTGCATGCATGTTAACATGCATGCAATGCAACACGCACGTTGAAATTTCAAAACGATCTGATATTCAAGACAGTCTGCAATGAGCCTCTGGCAGCACAATGCAAAGAAGTTCCCCCTCACCTCAAGCAGCCATCATCAGAGCCCGTGATGACGACATTGTCGTTGACTTTCTTCAAGCAGTTGATAGCATCAGGATGCTTGGAGAACTTGTTGCTGTGGTAACCAAACTGCCCCCAGTTGAAGACGTAGAGGGCTCCCTCGTCCGATCCGACCACGACCTTCGTGTCGTGTCGCAGCACCGCCAGACTCGTCAGCTCGCTCTCGTACAACTCCGACTGTTAAAAAATGTGGCTCACTTCCTACGCTAGTACAACAAAAATTGTATATAAAGATATAGATTAATTTATTTGTGGTCAATGAAATGGTTCAACGTTAACGTCGAATTGAGTAGGACACAACATGGCAATCTTAGTACATATATCTTTAAAATAAATCATTTAAAAATAAATAAATTACCATTTTTCAAATTGATCTACGGTTCTTAAGCACCAAATATTACTTAAAAAAAAAAAGAATTTTAGGATATTGACTTCATTTTGCCATTTTTGATACATCAGTATCTGCGAAGGTTCACAATCCCTTTTATTGCTTTAGTTTCTTCCAGTTTGAACTTAAAACGGCTTCCAACGTGTCACAAGATGGCATTTCCTATCCAAACAATCACCGTGTCAATCTACGTAACTCATCTAGCCAACTGAGATTAGGCCACGAGTCCACCAACCGAGTGATTACAGTGTATAAACCAATCAGCCCGGAAACACGATTGAGCCGCAACCTGAATCGGAGATTGGCTGCGATCGTATGGGCACCAGTTTGTTATGCTCCTGTGTCCCGGGTAGGGACCAAGAATGACTGCACCTATCATTATTTCAGAGGCCAGATCAATTACTTCTCACGTGATACCGTGACAGCTAGCTGCACTGCTGTTTCTATGGCCAAATCTAATTTAGCGTTAGGTGATACGTTGACATCACATTCTCAGGTTTCTGGATCCTTCTCATAGCTTCTTTATCCGGGAGAATGTCTCCGAGAACAGGTTTACAGGAAATATGCCTAAAACCTCCACGACTAGGAGAGAGAGTCGTCATTAAAATGTTGCTTGAAAATTTTCAGCAGTTTAAAATTGTTCCCACAGCACACTGAAAGACGCAAAAGAGAGCATTTTCAACAGCTCCCATTAGACACACTGCGCTCCAGGAAAACAACCCTATCATCGTATGTTTGCCTCAGCAAACAGGATCACCTCGAGCCCAACAAGACCGCATAACCTCATGGAACCCCTTCTACATAGCAGCACGTCCAAGCGACCACCGTGCACGATCGCAGATACCCTGCCATGCACATCCTCCGCCTCCCGCCCTCCAACCACAGGCCGACAGGCGACGGAGGAGCGACGGAAATCGCTCGAACGCAACGCACCTGCATCTCCATGCGCTTCGCCCTCACGTTGAAGGCCGTGAGCGTCCCCTCCCCGGAGGTGCAGATCAGGATCTTCCTGGCCTCGTGGGACTCCATTGCGCTCACGTAGTCGTCCATCTTCTTCATCTCCATGGCGCAGCGCGGCTGCCTGTAGTCCCACACTGTGCAGAAAGAATTTCCAGGCTCAACTTCCCGCATTTACTCCAAGCGGGGGAGGGGGGGGGGGGGGGGGGGGGGGGGGGGGGAGGGGGAGGGGACCTTTCACCTTTCACGACCCCGTCGTCGTCGCCGGTCGCGCAGAGGAACTCGTCCAGGACGAGGAGGCAGTACGGGGGAGACCTTCAACGAAGAAACGGAGCCATGTGACATCGATATTAAATCAACATTTATCGACATTAATCGATATTTATCGACTTTTAACGTTGACGGAGGTCCAATGAGATACGAGGGAGATCGTAATCAGCAGCTCCGGTGAAACCGGAGGAATTATGTTCCGGGAAACGGTATTTATTAGGGTTCGAACTTCAATCGATTAATCGGCCGATTAGTGATAAACGTTCTAATTTTTTTTTCTCCCCAATTTCGGTGCATAGAGCACAATTTGTTCGCAGAGCCAAAACCTTTTTTTTTTAATGAAAGCCAATTAAAATCAGTCACAAAAGGCTTCTTGAGCGGCTTCAGCAAGATGAAAGTATTAGAAAAAAAAAAGCGATTTAAAAAACGCAGTAAGAGCCTCGCGAAGCGACGAAAGCCGCCTCACAGTTCTCAATTAAATCCGGCCTCTTCAGCCCCGCGCAGTCGCACGTGCGCCCGAGCGAACCTAGAACGGCCAGCGTACGTGACGGGGCCCACGGAGCCACCCGCCTGCCCTCGTAGGGGCCCCCAGACGGCACGTAGGTCGTAAAACCGCACCGGAGCCCCGGGAAAGGGGTCGGGGGTTATATATTTCTCGGGGACGCCACTTTTCTCTCTCCGTCTGGGCCTCATCCTCCTTTCCCTCGAGAAGCATCCAAGACGCGAACCGCGTCACGCCTCGCGCACGCCACGCCACCCGCGATCACGCCCCGACGCTCCGAGACGGCATCCATTTCCAGGCCGGCCCCCATCGAGTCCACTTCGTCGTGCGTCGTCCCGCTCCAATCAGATGTAATTCCAACCGGAAAAATACGCCTCCGCTCATGGAGGCGTATTTTTTCCGTCGTTCTTAAATGACGATGCTTTTTCTTTCGAGAAGCGGAAACCGAGCACCTCCCGCCCCCTCAGATTGACAGACGCATTGTGCGTAGCAGAATCGGCACACAGCACCGTAAAAAAAAATGCAGCCCTGGCCCCCCCCCCCTCCCTCTCTCAAAAAGCCGAAAGGAAAGACGCAAGACAGCAGAAGATAATGGAAGTGACAGAATGAAGGACGACCCCCCTCCCCTCCACCCTCCACTCCACCTCCGAGTGCCCTCCCCTCCCTCACGGCCCGATGGGGCACCTGGCCGAAAGCAGACGCCGCGGACTTTCTCTTTCCCCCTCCCCCTCCCCCTCTCCCCCTCTCCCCCCTCCCCCCTCCCCCCCTCCCCCTCTCC